TATTGCAACGGCCGACAGGAAAATTGCAAATTCCCTCAAGGATTTGCAAAGCGTTTTTCAAATTTGCAAAGCAGATTATGAAAATTCCAAATGAGTTAGGAACTCAAAAGAGGAACGCTTCACGTAATTTACCTGTAACGTTGCGCCGAAATGGCATACATACTTGTCTCGTGACTTATATATATATTTTGTGACGTATATATGTCCGACCAAATTTAGTGATGTTGGTTTTTGTCCGACCAAATTCAGGTTATGTCCGACCAAAATTAACCGACCAAAATTAAAAGTGATCGGACAAATGTCCTGTCAAGTCAAATATTTATTTACAGCCCTGGGTGTCATTGCAAGCTACATTAGGCATGCAATGATTTGCACCCCCCCCCCCCCAGAGGTATTTGGCACCACCCCCAAAAGTTTTTGCACCCCGCAAATTATATATATTTTGATTTGATAGTTTCATATTTGATTATTCTTACTACTAAATTTGTAAAATTACCAATATTATGGTCTCAGATCTCACCATGCAGGCCTAGAAAACAAATTTTATTAAACTTTTTCCTTGGCCTTTCCGGGCGTTGCCACCATGCCCCGGCCAAAGCAAGCAGCAGTACCCCCAGATATTTATCCACCCCCCGAACGAAAATATGAAAATCCGTCTCTGTTGAACATGCCTCCAAACGTTGATTTGGCTTGCTCAAAATATTAATGTTCTCTGGTCAAAACCTGAACATTTGAAACGTAAACAAACATGAAAAAATTCTCACACCTAAACTAAGCTTGCAAGCAGCAGTAAGTTACATTCATGCGTTTATCATTTATGCGTTTATCATTTGTCAGGTTAAAAGGAAACACGAAACCTGAAAGCCTGCCTTGTAAATGGATGGACTGTCACCACACCGCTTGTGATGTTCCGCAGCTAGCTAGCCACGCCCAAGAACAACATGTCGACCCGATGAAAACATGCGACATATTTGTGTGTCTTTGGCAAGACTGCAAGGTCTTCAACAGACCAAGCTGTTCAATGAGCTGGCTAACAAAACATTTAGAATCGCACATCGGTGTGAAGCCATTTAAATGTATTTTTGAAGGTTGTTCGTTGTCTTTTTCAACACAGACCGGCCTAGCTAGGCACGTTCCATGCCATTTTCAGGAAAACGTACGGCAAAACAAAAAGAATTTCAACAATAATCTTGGGAAGGATGACTCTCCGAGCAAAAGACAGTTGAAACGAAAGCGTTTAAAGTATATTCGCTACAAGAAACCTGGTTCGCATGGTAAGATTTTGTTGATGCGTATATATATATATATATATATATATAGGATATTACATGGCGGCGTGAAGATATGACTGTTATTATGGAGTGGTGAAAACAATATTTTACAAAGAGTACAGCGAGTGAGTATTACAAAAGTCACCGAACTGTGGAATCGCATCAAAAATTCCTATCGCTGCCACTCCTACAAACGTCTACGACTGCACCTACATATTTTTGCATGTTTACAATTCTAATTTTAAACAGCCAATCGACGTTTAATTGTAATTGTCACCAAGAACCGGATTGGCGGTTCAAAATTAGAATTGTAAACATGCAAAATACGTAGGTGCGGTCGTGGACATTTGTGGGAGTAGCCCATATACAGATTTTTTATGCGATTCCACAGTTCGGTGACTTTCGTAATAAAATATTGTTTTTAACACGAGAAGATAAGAGTCCTATCTCAAACCACCATGAAATGTTCTGTTTATTACATAGTCCAAAACAAAAAATTGTATAAATACTAAAAGTCACATGTGAAGATATGGAAAATATCTCACTATACTTCTATATGTATTTTTCAGTATCTCACTCTCTACGATATAATGGTTAGGTTTAATAAATGTGTAAAAGTCCAACTCAAAATTTCAACCAACAAAGTTTTGTAACACCTTGTGCAGTGCACTCCCAACTACATTTGTAAAAACAAACTGGCCTTTCACTTATGTGGAATTTTTTAGGGAAAGTCGAGGATTTTGTTGACCAGCATGCGGTTGACAGTATCAAGTCACGATTGGAGAGTATGGTTGCTAAAGACCAAGATACAGTTGGGATTGATGGTTCTCTCATACATTTCGTCGGCAAGGTAATGTTCACACCAACAGTTGAACCCCCTTAAGCGGACACTGTCGGGACCTCAGCAATGCGTCTGCTCAACAGAGGTAATAGGGTTTCGCGACAGTAGGAGGTAACGCCCCAACAATTTAGGAACGGTAATAGAATAACAGCCCATCACTGATCGGAACACCAG